CGCTTGTTGCTCTCCGCCGCCATTTGGGAGGAGACACGAGCGTTGTCCTCGGCTACCTAGCGAAGGTGGATCACCTCTGCCGCCTCGCCCTACGCGGTGATCAGCTGCTCCTGGACGGCTGAAAATGAGACAAGAAAATGCTACAACTGAAGACACGATGTTGCACGAAGTAAGAGAACAAGATCATATCGGGCCGAATGCCTTACCAGCGAGGCGTGCCTAGGCCTCGGCGGTGGCAAGCTCCACCGTGGCCGTTTCCTATTTCGTGGCGGCAACAGAGAGGCGTAGCCGGTCCACCTCCTGGCTCTCCTCGCGGAGGGTGGAGGTGGCCATGTCTAGCTTCTCCACCAACCTGAGGAAATCATCTCCCCGTCATCGTTGGAGATAGCTAGAAGCAGGGATCGACTCTCTGGTGGCGCCGCCGCCGAGCTGCCCTCCTCGTCCCATCACAGGCTCACACGAATGTGGTGACGAGCTGAGACAACCCCCGATGACTCTTCCATTGGGCGCTTCATTCCCCGATCTGTCATTGGATGAGATCTGGAAGATGGGGTGTGTCGAGGTGAAGCGCCGGACGAAGAACATAGAACGAGAAGATAGAGTTTAGAAAGGAATCGTGTATTTGCTTCCCCGTCTGAGCCTTTGCTTTTATAGAACGATGGGCAACATAGGCGCCCGTTGGAGTTCCATTCGATTGCACCGAGCGAGAACAGGAGTTAAGGCGAGGCCACGTCTCGCATGATCTTAGTGGAGCACGCTTCTCCCGATAGAAGTAATGGTGATGGAATGGTGTTAGAAGTTGGACGGAGAAAATTGACTCGGCCATGCGGCTTGGTCCCCTCTAGCGCTAGTTTGGAGAAGCATGTGGTGCGAGCAGCTTACGCAGTTCCCACGGTTTGGAGGATGACGACTGACTTCCCCAAGACGTTCGCCATCCATGCGTCGTGGAACCTTCAATAACGGAGCGCTCATAAAATCCCATGAGGGCTTTTTGGAACTCACCTTGCTCTACTCCGACCCCCTTCCCAGTGCTCTACTTTGCCGCGATGTCGCTCCCCGACTCGAAGATCCGTCTTTTGCCGCTGCCGCGGGTGTCCTCGTTCCATGGAGGTGTCTGTTGAGATTGCTAGCCACATCACTGTGGCTGTATCGGATCCTATGGAAGATCTTGGCAGCCTGCAGGCAACCTGTTCTTAGATGCGCAGGGTGTACGGTGATGCCATAGTGGGACGGAACATACCACTACGGCGGGTGCGCTGCATGGGCTGCAATGTGGGATCTAGAAGCAGTAATACAACCATGAGTACCACGCCAAGCTCATCACCTGTCTTGCTAGCATCGGCAACCCAAAGGCCTACTTCTATGCTTGGATGTGCGCCGTCTTCATGGAAGACCGTGGCGCGCTCACGTCGCGGCTCGACATGCTTGAGCGCTCTGCCGTGGTAGGCCATGATGTTGCTGCATTTGTTCTCGCCCTTGTGCTCCATAGGTCCAATAGCAGTGCCAACAACGACAACATTGCTTGGCGGTTGTTGAGGAAGGTCGAGGGTGATAAAGTGGCCCTAGCGGTGAATGTGACGTGGAAGAACGAGAAATGTACATAGTGGCTCCAACGCGCCATGTGGGTGTTGCAGGACTTGGTGGGGCGGCCGGCGCCGGGTGAGTCTAGTCCTCTGCCTCCTCTGGCCATGCCGGTGCATCGCCAGGACATACATCAGTGCGGAGGCGAAGGCTACGGCGACCACGCAGGATGGGAAGCTAGGGAGAAGTGGGCTATGTTCTGCAGCGAGAAGTGTAGGATCCGCAATGAGTGTGATAGGTTCTTCAAAAGAATGTGGTAGATTCTGGGCAGATCAATGTTGATATGTATATATCTGGATGACGGGGATTTGTATGATAAACTCTTTATTTTCCTTAATGCAATGATATGATATGCAAGTATGATTCCTTTTTAAACTCGTTATAGTTACCTTCCTTCTCGTATGATGTGGTTCAGATTCCCTTGCACATGTTTCTAACTTCTTAATATAAGTTATTCAAGTCATCTCCACTAATAAACACAATTAATATCAATATAAGAAATATAGAAGGCTTATGGTCGCCAACATGGCGGATACTTCCACCCTAGCACCATCTCAGTGAGGTGTTTTATCTCACGTCTGTGTAGCCAAGGCAAATCTACGATACTTTAAAAAAATGGATTAACAAGCATCACAACCATTCAGTTATTAATTGTTTTTTAAGGCAAAAACTATATATAAACGACATAATAACAAGCATCATAGCCACATAAGAAAATTTTTCATTAATAATTTAACTTACATTCCACAAGTTGTACAATAACAAAGACCTATCGAAGACTACTGGGTGTACAATAATAAAGACCTATCGAGTACAGGTACAACCCTTAGTCGAGTTTGGAGACAGGTAGTGCAAGCTTAGGACGAGGCAGCACCTCGTAAAACTTCCACTAGCATCTTAGTGAGGTGTTTTGCCTTCCCTGCTTTACCAAACCAGGGATACCAAAGTGAATTCAGTACCCCTTGGCTTGTCCAAATAAGTGAACCCCCTTAATCGCAAAACTTCCACTAGCACCTAGATCGAGCAGCCCTCGCTGCGCCAAGATGCTGGTAGTACCCAATCTTGAGGGCCTTCTCCCAACGCCGCTGCTGTCGCCGGAGGAGTTGGAGATGGAGCGCCATGGAGATGAAGAAAATATAGATAGTTGGCTCAAGAGCTTTGTCTGTATCTATCTGTATCTAAGGAGGAAGGAGTGTCTAGATTGCCAAGAAGCGCATCCAGCCCCGGCTTAAATAGGCCAACCTTGAAGATGGAGAAGCGGAGAGGAGCAGTTAGTACGCATCAGGGAAGACGAGGCATAGGAAGTAATGGTGATGCACTTGTGTTGTGTGGGTAGTTGGGAAATGAGGAAATAACTCACGCTAAATTTACAACCGCTGGTACACCAAACGGTTGTGTAGGGCCGACAACCATAACGCTTACCCCAGTCGGCTTAGCTTTTCATACGACGGAAAAAATACCACTGCCGCATCTATTGTTAACCCGTGGGTGGTAGAAGTTTCAACTGCTGGTTTCCTTCCTTAGGAGGCCTTGCTATCGGTCCAACCAACGGTGTAAGTATAACACCGTCGCTTCTATCGTTACGACAGTGAAAGTGGTGACAGTGATAAATCAATCTGTAGTAGTGTGCGTGCTTGTGCCGCCACGCCTATGCCGTTGTAAGAGAGATTAGGGGATGGGTGAGGAGGAATGGAAGGTGGTCAGCTTGACTGCTGTTGTGGTTGCTTTGGAGCAATAGGTGATGTGGGAGGAGAGGAGGAACTGCTGCGGTTGCTCGGGATAAGGGGAGTGGAGAGATGGAATGGATGGTGGCCAAGAAGAAGCCCGCAAAGGCATCAATGTGGTAGGAGGGGCGCAAAGAGGCAATGCGGGATCGAGGAAGGCGATGCGGAAATAGAAGGTGGTCAGGTCACTGGGTGAAGAAAGTCGACCCCGGAGGAAGAGGGCTGGGGAGAGCGAGAGATGATGCGGGAGCTAGGGTTTATATATTAAAATATAGCGAGTCGCATTTGACCGAGCCGGGGGTAGCTAGCGCGCCATGCCGAGGTAGTAGCGGTCCTCCCATCGAGTCGAGCCAGCACGGGCACGACTACTGTTGGGCCATGGGGTGCCTGAGCTAGGCCAAACCATCTGGTGCCGTCCATGGGCCTCAGGCCTCATGGCCACCTATACCCACTCCACCTCTGCCTTGTTGTTGGGGTTCTCCGCATCCACCTTCAGCACAATGTCCTTGTGATATGCCGAACCCCTCATTGTAGTTCACCGGCTTTGTTGCTTATTTCTTGGACATGCAACAAACACACAGAGAAGAAGACGTCGATAGAATTTTATATCTTTTTATTTCAGATTTTTTTCATCTCTAAATCGACGATGTACCGTGCCAAGTTTTTATATATTTTTCTTTCCTTCGAAAAAGAGCTTCCCATAACACATATTTTTTGTTAGCACAAGGTTAGATCTAGCTAGGCCTTGTTTGTTAGAGCTTCAACTCTAGTTCCTCTATGCACTACAGGAAGAAGTTATTTTTCTTTTTTTTTTTAAAAAATGAACTAAGAGCTAGTGAAACCATTTTTTTCCCTTCATCGGCTCCGGCTCCTCAAGGAGCGAGAGCCATTTGGAATCGTGCTACCCTTAATATGAGCTATGACCTTATAATTATTGGATGGCTGAAAGATCAAATGTGGTCTAGACACTTGGAAGGCCCTAAATACTCACGTGTGGTTTAGACACTAATAAACAACATGCATGCATGCATGACCTCCTATAGGGTCGTGTTGTGTATGGCCCACATGTTAGTCACGGAACCTACCAGTAACTGCATGCATAAATATGCCTCCGATTGAGCGGCTGTGCGCCATTGAAGCATCCATCATCGTCCACGCTGCCAATAGCTCGTCTTATCCGGCCGGGAAGCCGGAAATAGCTAGTTTATTTGGCATGTCCATAGACGGGGACCTATATATAACAGCCATGGAAGCTAGGGGAAAGCAGCAGCCCAAGGCAACCATACCACCGTGCCTCCATCATATCTGCCTCTCCATTCCGACTCTTTGTTCGTTCTGTGCAAGAGGAGGGAAGGAGAAAGGCAGAGAGGCCTCTATATCCTGATTATTAACACACATATACAACTGCTTACTACTAGCTAGTAATTCCCTTGTCTGGATTTTTATATATATACGACTATAGTACCTATAGTAGCAACCGTGCAGAACAACTAACCCCATTTTTCCTGCGTGCAGTTCCAGTTCTCCATTGCGGTTGCACACATCCTACGCTACATATATATCAGTCACTCTCGCTCTGTCGCGGCGGCCGTTCCACGTACAAGAAATACAACCCCCGTCCATCCCCAACTTCCTTGCAAGAACTCGTGAAAGAAGAGGAGGAAGAAGGCGACCCACCAAGCGGCGGCAAACAAGATGGTTAATCCTGACGACGTCCGCAATGTCGTCGGCATCATTGGTGATACGATCGATCCATATTTCTCTTCTCAATCGATCTATCTATCTATCTATAACGATATATATAATGCATTGATAGATGATCCATGAATAATGTATGAATTGCATGCATTGCAGGCAACTTCATCTCGTTCGGTCTGTTCCTGTCGCCGCTGCCGACGTTCCTGACGATCATCCGGAAGCGCGACGTGGAGGAGTTCGTGCCGGACCCATACCTAGCGACGTTCCTCAACTGCGCGCTGTGGGTGTTCTACGGACTCCCCGTGGTGCACCCCAACAGCATCCTGGTGGCCACCATCAACGGCACGGGCCTCGCCATCGAGGCCGCCTACCTCTCCATCTTCTTCGCGTTCGCTCCCAGGCCGAAGCGCGCCAAGATGCTGGGCGTCCTGGCCGTGGAGCTCGCCTTCATCGCCGCCGTCGTCGCGGGCGTCGTCCTCGGCGCGCACACCCACGAGAAGCGGTCCCTCGTCGTCGGCTGCCTCTGCGTCTTCTTCGGCACGCTCATGTACGCGTCCCCGCTCACCGTCATGAAGAAGGTCATCGTCACCCAGAGCGTCGAGTACATGCCGTTCACGCTCTCGTTTGTTAGCTTCCTCAATGGCATCTGCTGGACCACATACGCGCTCATCAGATTCGACATCTTCATCACGGTCGGTTTAATTGTTTCTGTCTTTCATTATTCTAGTGGCTCAATCCATGCATGATGGATCTGTATGCATATATAATTATATATAAAAATATATATAGTTGATTGATGAACTGAGATATATGCAAGCAAATTTAGATCCCGAACGGCATGGGAACGCTGCTGGGCTTGGTGCAACTGATCCTCTACTTCTGCTACTACGGGTCGACGCCCAAGAGCAGCGGAACGACGACGGGCATGGAGCTGCCGGTGAAGGCCGGTGATAGCGACAACAACTAGGCTGTCTGTTGCTAGAGAACTGCCGGCGGACCGGCAGGCCGGCTTGACGACCCTTGACGATGTCCGGCAGTCTGTGTGTGCGTAATATGAACGAAACTGCATGGCAATGCAGATGCAGGCGCATGCTTGTAAGCCTGAATTGCTGTCGTTGCACGCGTGGTAATATAACTCGTTTGTTACTTGTTGGTCGTTTGGAACGTACGTTCTATCTCGGATTCTGGACATGCACTCCTCCATTTCTCAAAGGCTGAAGGTCTAAACAGGCTCTTTCTTTTTTGGGAGGACCATGTATTCTTGATCCTGGTTTTAGCAAGTTTATTTACACACCATTCGTCCAATTATAAATTAAACACACGTACATGGCAAAAGCTTTGTTGGGTATTTATTAATAGAGAAGGATTAAGTTACAACAAACAACAGAACACACTTGCAACGACAACAACGAGCACCGACACGTGAAGGACTTCACGACAATGCCTCTAACAAGGGACATTGACGCTAGAGACGACGTCACCATTGTTGCCATCGACACATAGCCGAGCAGGAATTCCACCCAAAAGCCCCCTACCCCCACACGCCAACCCATCCTCCAAAACATGTGGCACTCTATTGCCGCACCAAACTAGCCATCGCCTTGCCATGCTAGCCACTGAGGCAATATATTCACAAAGTTTGTTGTTGTTAGTGGAAAGATGCTGCCAAGCCACAGGCTTACATGACTTGTCATTTTTTTCAGCACTACCGGAATCAGTAGGTAAGCCGAGTGCAAGAGGGTTTGCCGAGTGCAATCCATCGAGCACTCGGCAAACAAGCTCTTTGCCGAGTGCTGAAAAAAAAACACTCGGCAAAATAATTGCACTCGGCAAACGAGGAAAAAAACACTTGGCAAAGTTCGACACTAGACAAACTAGAAAAAAAAAACACTCGGAAAAACTAGGCATTCGACAAAGAAATATGTTTTTCGAGTGTAATTGTCTGGCACTCGGCAAAGAAATATGTTTGTCGAGTGTAATTATTTGGCACTCGGCAAATATTTTTTTTTCTTCTAACCTTGAAACACGTCATGGAAAAGAAGAAAAAGAATTAAAATAAAAAAAAGGATTTGCCGAGAGCCCCCGATCTGGCACTCGGCAAAGATGTGGCTTTGCCGAGTGTCCCGATCTAGCACTCGGCAAACTCACATCCTTATAAACTCGCCCGGCCGCCCCCCTCCCTCCCCTGGGCCTCCCATCCCTCTCCCGGCGCCGCCGCCCCCTCCCTTTCCCGGCGCTCTCCATCCGTCTCCCGCCCGTGCCCCCTCCCTCTCCCGTCGGCGCCGCCCCCTCCCAACCCTCTCCCGGCGCCCCTCTCTCCCTCTCCCGGCGCCGCCCCCTCCCCTCCTCTCACGGCAGGCGCGGCCGATGCGACCACGGCCAGGGGCAGCCAAGCGCGGCCGGCGGAGGAGACGCGCGGCGAGGCGTAGCTCGCGGGCGGCAGCGCGCCCTCCTGCCACACCGCGACGCGCACATCGGAGTCGGCATCGACCAGGAGCAGGCATGCCCCTAACCCTATGGCGAGCGCGCGCGTCTGCTCCAGGACGGAGCCGCCACCACCACCAAGAAGCTAACCCACCTCGACGTCAGCAGCCGCCGTCGCGCCTGGAGATCCGTAGCCGCACCGTCATCTCCACCCTATTCTCTTCTTCGGGTCCGGCAGCAACCGCTCCTCCTGGACCTACAGAAGCCGCCGCTGCAAGCTGCTGCTCCCTCCCCCTCTGCATCGGACACGGACAGGCAGCGAGCTGGCCACTGCGGCGGTGGGTAAGCTACGAGCGGGCCAGGACTGCGCCCTGCCGGCCGGCTCCTCGCCTCGGCCGCAGGCGGTGGGCGTGGTGGTGGCGGTGGTGGCGGGGAGAGCCGCGGGCGGACGGCGGTGTTTTTTTTTATATTTTTCAAAAAGTATCTGCCGAGTGTCGGTTTTAGCACTCGGCAAAGTCTTTGCGGAGTGCCCGATAAAAAACACTTGGCAAAGAAACATTTGCCGACTCTGTGTACGCCGAGTGCCATTTGCCGAGTGTAACACTCGGCAAAGGCTTTGCCGAGTGTTTTTTGAGCTTCGCCGTGTGCCGTGGACACACGGCAAACCTGGGCATTCCGGTAGTGCAGACTATATATATTGTACCTCAACCACTACTGCAAAGATTGTAGTTATACTAAACAAGTTTGGAACATTATTCTTGGGTGGTTCAACGTAGCAGGAATTAGCAATAACGCCAACCATATCAGGGCACTATCTACACCTGTTGAAGAATGGAGATCAATTTTTTTTTAAAAAACAAGGGGAGAATTTGATGGCATCATCGCCTATTTCTGGTGTAGTATCCGGAAGGAATGGAACAAATGAACTTTCCAACATGAAGAAAAACAACAGTGATCTCCTACTGTGTCTCTTTTCGTGTATGGGTGGGGTGGATTGTGTTTGGTTGTGTGGCTGCCCCTCAGAAGGAGGCATGTAATTGTTTCTATTTGTGTTCTCTATTTCTTCTACTAATATAAATTTAGCAAATCTCTTGCTGACCTTTCGGGGAAAAGAAACATGCATCAAAAGACAGAAAGTTATCATAGAATGAAAATGTTCAATGATTGACGTATGTTTGTCCCATTCATGGTTTTGTTTAAAGCTGAAACATGGGATACATAGGACATTTGCTTTTATTTTATCCATTCATGATTCTGGTTAAAGAAAGCCCAATTAATTAGTTGACCTAGCAAGGTGATATCTTACTAAAAGGAGCATGGTAATGCTCAGTGCACCAATGCATTGCATAACCCAGTGATTTCTTATTTCTAACTGATGACAAATGTAGCACGGTCACAAGCATGTGATTAATTTTTTTTTCCTCTCGGACACAAGAGCATGAATAATAAAATAGAGCGAGCATGGGCTGTTGGCTTATGCGCAACAATGTCAGGCAACACTGCAAAATTAACAGCCTTGTTGTGCATCAGTAAAAACTGAAAGAAAGAATGAATTAATAAGACTGAAGGACTTATGGCTGGGATTTTGTGCTTGCAACAAACCCGAATCAATGAATGAAAGACCTAACGACTGGAACGAAGGGACTGAATGTGACCGGGCGAAGTTGAAGCAAGAGGTCTCAGATGATGGAAGGGGCGCGTGCGAGATGTGTGATCAAGGAAGGAATAATCAATCACGTATTCAAATGGCATGTACAAGGAAGGAAGATAATCAGTCGATCCCATGCGTGCATGCATCCTAACTTGGGCAGAAATCACGTGATTGAAGCTAGAACCATGCATGTATACTTAATTAAGGAATGATGACTCCTTCAATCAGCATGAAAGCGTCATCGCACGAGGAGCACCGGATCATGGATGGACAGTGGGATGCATCAGGTGTGCCGGCGGCCAGAAGGAAAGCCATTACCATGAATGAATTTCTTACTAGTTAGAAAATCAAATCATGATCCAAGTAGCAATAAACACTTGTGCATGCACTGATGTTCGTGGCAAATAACGACGAATCGAATGGATCGAGCACGCGTGCGTACACTTTATTCTAAATTTTGCCGTCGACCATGACGACGAGAAGTGCATAAGGGCATCATCATCAGCTAGACGACGAGTTGACGTCGTTGTTCCTGGCCGGGTTGCACGCGTCGGAGACGTCGGCGTCGGTGTCGGCGGTGCTGCGGCCGGACCCGGAGGAGCGGCAGGATAGAGAGGACACGGAGAGTGGCGTGGGCGGGTGTGGGGTATAACATCAGGTACCCACGACAATGGATATGGGCCGCACTATCAGGGGAGGTCCAAGCCATAAGATCAAGGCTACGGTGCTCGGCTCTGGTTGGCGTGCACCGCAAGGCAATTAGAAGACATCCTGACGATGAAGGAAGATCTGTTCGGATATGATAGATATCGTATTCCTTGTAAATATTTATCATATAGCCGAATAGATCTAGGTCTAAACAGACTTATAACCCTGCCCCCAGACTATATAAGATAGGTAGGGACCCCCTCGAATTCATATGATATTCAATATAATCCACCAAAGACACAGGACGTAGAGTATTATGTCGATCAGACGGTCTGAACCTGTCTAAATCGCTGTCTCTGCGCCCGTGTCACCATCCGGTTCCTATTACGCGCACCTCCACCAATTATCTACTACCGTGGGTATACCCCTCGGTAGACTGTCGACTAGATTTCGTCGACAGTGGAGTGTGCGTGCTGATTCCATGACGAGCCAGATGATCCGCTTCCCGAGCTCCATGATCCTTCCCGAGCTAGGCCAGACCTTCACGGTCGGATCTATGACCTGGGTCATCGGTGCCAACGGCGTCGAGGAAATCATGGAGGCGGTGTAGAATCAGCCTGTGCCGATCGTGCCAACGTCTACAACGACATCTCCGATCCCGATGCTTCGCCGCTGGATTAGGAGATCCATCAGTAATGATGATCTGATCGCATTCATCGATCGGGTCACAGACCACTTAGTGGAATGTCAGCCCCTCGTGGATTCGGTCTTAGATCAATCTCGAGCAAGCGACAAATTTCCCGTACTCAAAGATCACCAAGCCGCTGCAACCGGGTGACCTCCTCGGCCACATTGTTCAAGGCAGCTAGATTCCGATCTGGTGATCACGGCAACTCCAGAAGGCCATACCGTTCAACGCCGACCACTCCCCGCCCCGACGGAGAACATACCGAAGCCCTATTCTTTCGGGCTGGTGGGTGCAGGTCCGATCTGTCGGGACGCCGTGCACCATCTTTTCGCCGACCACGCCGAGCGAAGCCACGTCAACGACCTCTATCAAATCGACTTCCCTGAGGCCGACCAGCCTGAGCCAATGGTAAACATGGTGCACATTTGAACAGATCTTCTGGATGATACGCTCCACACAATCCTGGAGGAAACCCTGAGCCATACTCTAAGGGTTCTACCAGCAGCTGTCCACCTTTGCCTCCAAGCTTTGGGAGAGAGCTTTTTATGGTTAGCCA